ACGGCAATCAGCTCGTTATACATTTTCAAAACCGCCCTCGAAAATTCGCTCATACTCTCAAAAACCCTACAAAACCCCGACTGAAAACCATTCAGCGTGAGCCTCTCAGTTTCCTGCATGCACTTAACATGCTTCTCCTTCTCCAGCTCCACCTTCATCCGAAACTCATCCACAGTATCCTTAGAATTGGGCCAAGACCCGGCCCGATCCTCATCTCCAGGCCCGTTACTACTCCCATCAGTTAGCCTCAACTGCAAAAACATCGTACTACTCTCAGCCTTCTGAAAAGCTAAAATCTTGCGGTCCAACTCTTTGGACAAGCCGTCAACTTTCCTCTTCTGCATTTGCTCCTCCCCTTGCTGGGCCCACAGGGCCCGAACATCCTTAGCACAGCTTCTTATCGCAAGAGATGCCGATCTATCCGGAAGATTGCTTACAAAATCGAGCCAGTCGTGGCAAACACCGAGTAGGTGGGGCCCGCCCGAGAGGCGAGGAGGGGAATGGGCCCGGCCAGCCCTCGAGTAGTATTCAACTTCAGGGCCCACGAATTTGGAGAGCCATCTGTAAAGGGCCTCGATGTATCTCCTTTGGGCCTGTACATACTCGTTGAAGCACGAGCGCCAGTTGAGGAGCTCGGTTTCGAGCTGGAGTGTGGCGAGACGGTGAGACTCGTTGCAGAATTTGCGGTAGGAAGGGCAAGTGAAGGTTTTGACTTCGAATATGATCTTGTTCTGAATCTCGTGGGATTCGAGTATTGTCTTCCAAGTCCTTGTCAACCTTTTTTTGAGTATTAATGAAAAAAAATTGAAAAATATTAATAAAAATATGAAAAATTTGCAGAAGCTAACACTAAATTGTTAGCACTATCAACTCTTATGAATGCAATTCATATGTGTGTGTGTGTGTGTGTGTGCATACATTAAAAGGGAAGAGCATTAATTTTACCCTTGAAGCAATTCCCTTATTTGAGGCTCAAGCTCTTCATCTCTTAGCTTCTCGATTTTGTTTGATATCGTCTCGGCACTACGGATGGCCACAAGGATCCTGCTGTATAGATCCTTAACTGCAGCTCGGCATTTGTCGACTGTAAGTTCCTCATCTCCTCTTACATCTTGATTCCAAAGATGATTGCATTTCCTCTCATAAATCCTTCTGATCTCATCTCCTTCCTAGATTGTCAAAACACACACACACAGAAGATTAAAGACAATAATTTTTGTACTTCAACACTTACATTTAAGTAATAAATAGACAATAAGCAAACAAATTTTGAGGATTAAAAAAAAAAAAGTTACCTTAACTTCTTGATAAAGTTTCTTTTCCCAAGCATAGAGCCTTTCCAAAGTGAGGGAATGGCTTCCAGAAGCCATCCCCCCATAATCATCAAAAAGATCGTTGCTAAATTCTGTCCATGCTGACGAGCTTCTCGAACCGGAGACTAAGCTCTTGCACGAAGCTGAGCGTGATGAGGCAGATCGCCATGGGATAGCCTGGATCAATTTTGTCGAGCTTTCTGCATCCCACATTTTTTTTCAATCCAGATACCAAGAAGACAATTAGAAACACAGAAAGAAAAAATGAGCAAAGAGTAGTCATCAACTCATCATTATTGTAAAATATCAAATTGCCTAACAAATTTGCTGATATCATATAACAAGTTAAAAATTATATAGACAAGTGAAACACAGGAGATTAATGAGCATAAAATCAGCCAAATCATAGCAGCTTCAAGAAGAATAATTAAGAAATCACTCAGTAAAAAGGCTCGCAAAAATACAATTCATAACACAGAGAGAACAAACTACAAAAGAGTTATTAGATCCAGACATCAAAATAGCAACCCCATTTTTTTCTGTTCTTTTTTTAACAATGACAGCAAGTCTGAAATTTCTCATGTTTCACACCATGGAGGAAGAATCTTGGCAAGCAAATATAATTTACAGCAGTAATACTCATTGTGAATACACACACATATATCTCAAAAAAATCAACCTTTAATTTCCTCAATATTAGACTGCAAATGCACCCTGTTACACTCCAACATTCTGGAAACTTCCTTTCCAGCATCATAAGCTACCATAAAATGATCTTCAATGTCCTTCAAAGCCTCCAAAAGCTCCCGCCCCCTAACCGGAGTGTCGATCACATTCAAAACCTCCTTTTGCCTTTCCTCAGCCCTGTGCGTTTTAGCACCACTCACTTCCCTCTCCACAACTTTAGCCCCATTTTCCTTCTCTTTCTCCACATCACTCCTCTTGCTCTCCACCACACATTCCCTCTCATCCTCAAGCTCCGGTATCCCTTCTTGTTCCCTCACGGCCCTCAAATCCTCCTCAGAAATATTCTTGTTAATATTATTATATACATTTATCATCTCAGGCGCCGCCATTGCAACATTTTCGAAAGGGTTAAAAAAATCCCACTCGAAACCCCTCTGTGGTGAGGCCATTGTGTTGCTCCGAGGCATGTCCATGTAGAAATACCCACAAATCTTCTCTTTTTCTTCATTTTCTTCTTCTTCATCGTTTTTTTTATTTCTATTTTCGTTTTTTTCGAGGGGCCTGTGTTCTTCGGAGGCAGAGCTTCTAGAAGAACTACATGAGTCGCAAGGTATGGCCTTTTTGCTTGGCTCAGATGGGTTTTGCTTGAGGAATAAAGGGTTTGAGACGACTGAGTTTTTCTCCGGCGCCGGCGATGGGATTGTGATGTACAGCGGCGGCGGAGAATGGCGGGCCACGAAGAGGTTTATGGCCGCCGAGACTCCGTAAAGAGACTGAAAATATTTGTAATGTGCATCTGCGAGAGCATACCTTCTCTCAACGGCTCGTTTGATTTGGCGCTTTCTCTCTCTACAGATGGACACAACTTCCTCTTCGTCTTGTAGCCTTGAGGCAACACAACCCATGTGTGTGAGAGAGAATTTTTCTTGTTTTTTTAAAAAAAAAAAAAATATCTGCTGGGTAGTATTCTGAAACAGTGGTGCTTGTGAGTGTGAAAAAAAAAATATTAAAAAAAAAGTGAGCTAGAGCATGAAGAAATGTAGGTTTTTGGAGAAATTCTGAGATGAAAATTGGTGGGGTTTGTGCAAAGATTCAAATTTTACTCGGATTTTAGTGGGATTCTGAAGAGGGCCAGTTTGATTTTTTGGAAAAATAAAAATAAAAATAAAATAAAACTTGACATGAAAAGTGGTGGGGGTGGTGCAAAGATTCAATTTTTACACAAATTTTCTTGGCTTCTAGTGGGATTTTAAAGAGCCCATTTGATTTCTTGGAGATAATTTGAAGATTGAAAAGTGGTGGGGCAGTGCAAAGATTCAATTTTCACTCTAAAATTTTCTTGGCTTTTTGTGGGGTTCTAACTTCTGAGGAGCCTATTTTGATATCTGGAGGAACAAAAATGACTAAAAGAATGAGACCCATTCATTGACCCCATTTCAGTTTTCCCTAGTTTTTAATCCTGAGGATAAAGGTAGGTATCTGCACAATAAATTGAAACAATAAAGATAAATGTGAGGTGAAAATGAAAAGAATGGGGGTTGTACTTAACAGATTAAAAAAGCTACAAAAGTAGAAAAATCTTGCTACAAAGAAAAAGAGCAGGTTTTAATCCTTGTCTTCTGCAGCATGGATGATGGAGCAAGCAAAGATAAATAAAAATAAAAAAGTTAAAAAAACAAACTAATGTCCGGTTATGGGAATGGGATTTATTGTATTTATTTTCTCTCTTCACATAGAAAAAGGAGTAAATTTTACTGGTTTTGCTTAATTTATGAAGTGTGTTTTTGTGTTTGTGTGTGAGGCTTGAAAGAGAGAATCTGGTGTAGGGGGAGGTTTATGAGGTAGGTAGGGGCTCGAGGAAAAAGCATTTCTTATAGGCTTCACTACAAATTTGTCAAACTGAACTGTTTAAAATTAATTATTATAATTTGGAAAAAAATGTCAATAAATTATTGTAATTTGGAATAAATGTCACTTTTTTAGTAACTCTTTTCTTAAAAATACATCTTTGTCTAATTGTCTCACACAATCTAAACAACAATTGATGTCATTTGTACAAAGAAAAATGATAATATAAAGCTTGTGTGCTGTACAAAAGTGAGAGATGTATACTTCGGATAATATAATTTCATTCTCAAAGTTCAAAAGGGTCTTCTTGATACTTAGCTATGCATTTTTTGAGTGGTGAAAAGATGGCCAAAAAATAAAAATAAAAAAGAAAAAGTTGCTGCAGAATTCATTACTTCAGAGATATTTCACAAGTTGACAGATGGAATGCTGACCAGTGATAGAAAAGAGGAGTCAAAAATTGTAGCAAAATATGGTAGTCAAGTCCATTCAGGTCTCAGTGATAGATTTTGTGTCCCCGCATGCATGTGTGTATTACTACCTCCATTTGTCATTTTGGTTTTACGAACCATTAACAAAATAAATAACGTTTTGAATCTTTTGTATATATTTTTTCATTACTATCCTCATTTAATTAAGAAATACATTACGTTTTTTCATATTAACTCTTCATTTTCTCTCAAAATATTCATCTTTATCTTCATAATGAGAGGTATTATTGGCAAAAAAAATATTTTTAATTAATGTGTAACTTTTCAAAATGACATTTATTAAAAAATGGAAGGAGTAATAACACTAGTGAGCGAGAGAGAGTTGTTTTCTCTTTTTTTTTTTCAGTTTTGTCCTTTTTATGTTACGGTGTTTTTAAATATTGCCCCCTATTATCACTACAAGAAAAACTGCATTTGGAGACGCTTATTTTTTTGTTTACTGACGCTTATTTTTTTCTGACATCAAATTTAGCAACACAACTCACCAATAAGCGTCATTAATAAGTGTCGCCAAATGCAGTTTTTCTTGTAGTGTATTACTTACTGCTACCAAAAAGACAATTTCACCGTTTTCAATTTAAA